TATTCATGTGCATACATGTATCTTAGTCCTCCAGAACTTTTTAAAATTGGCAACTGTAGGCGAGGTTAGAAGTTTTATCCTTAGATTTCCTTCTGTATGTCGTCAACTTTAGTGTCCCAGTTAATTGACAAAACAGAAACTGAATTAGCGCTTTCATAGAAATATGGTTTGCAATTTGAAGTCTTAGTTGAAAGGCTTTATTCCAAAATGTTATTTTCTTTAAGAGACCCACCTGCTTCTATTTTTTATTAACTATATTAAAAAAATTAAAGCAATACAAATTTATGTTAAGTTCAAGCAATATGTACCTATAAAAGTGCAATTGCCTTGGAACCGGACCATGCCGATGTGTTAAGCTCTGCTCACGTGCAGCTTCAGTGATAGTTTTGTGAGTTACATTCCAAATGGCAATAGATAAGTTTAATGTGCTTTACTCAGAAAGTCTAGTGATGAAAATAGCAAGACCCAAATTAGTCTAGTTCTGTTACCAATTGTGTCATCTTGCGTTAGGCATGTAACCCTTTTGGGGTCTTGGTTTCTTTGCATAAGAGCAAGAAGGTTACTAACGGTATTAAAACCATCAGGCTGAAAAAGCCATAGTTAATTAGGAAAGATTAATTCAATTCAACAAATATTTATTGAGTGCCCATTATGTGCCAACCATGGTCTTAGCAATGAACAAAATAAATATCTCTACTTTCAGGTAGTTTCATAATTTATTTCATGAACTCTGAAATTTTTTTCAGTGATTGCCAATAGTAGAAAAGTTAGATTTTTCTTTATTAAATAAATAATCAGAAAAATTAGCAGAAAGCTAAAGGAATTCATATCCCTGAATAGGAAACTTAAAATGTTCTTAACAAGAATATTGGAGTTAATATTGATAGGATATTTAACCTTTTAATCAATTTGTTAATAGGGCCTGTTCACTGTTCAAGAAATACACTTAATGGAGATTTGGCATCAGCAACCATTCCTGAAGAAAGCAGACTTATGGCCAAAAAAAAATCTGAATTGGAAGATCCTCTTTCATCCTTTTCTTCCTGAGGAAACAGAAATGTCCAACTTCCTCTAAGTACTGCTATGCAAAAGCTGCTGTAATTAAACTATGTCATAGGGAGTAGTTTTTCCCTTAGGATTTCTCTGCACTTTATAGAATATTGTAAAACAAACAGAAAACCCACATACCTTTGAAGTGTATTTTATCTTTATAG